CTTCTAGTGCCGCATCTCATTCTCTCAATCCCACTTCATATGACCAATCCAATTATTCACACAATTCTGTGATCTCGTTTCTTCCAATTTCGCCTAAGAGTGTGTCACTACAAGTGGATTTAATGAAATGTATTCTTCTCCACCATCGGTAGAAGATGCCGTTTCCAGGGCTCCTGATTTTCATTCTGCCTCCCTTTTTTTTCTTACTCACTTGTCAAGTGGCACCCGTTAAACACCCCAACCCACATTGTGTCTAATTAACTGGGGGTCCTGTGCCCGACTTTAGTCATAACCACTAGTGTGAGAATGCCCCACTTCACTTTTTTTTATTTGAATCACGAAAACACACTCTTCTCGTCTCCTAAGTTGGCATTACCATCTAATTCGCAGGAGAGTAGACGTATCCATTGTTTTTCTATGCTCCCTTTGCTTTCCTTTAAGAATCCATCTGTTCATCACCATCTGTATTTTGTGTTGTATTGCTTCTTCTTGAAACAGCTGAGTTAATTTTCCCAGTTCCTTTTCCCAGAACTCAGAATCAGTGAGTCGTTAGCTTCTTATGATCATACTTCCGAGTATTCCAATATTCATCCCATTAGCATGATTCGACTGGAAGTTAAGAGTCCTTCTAGCATGCGATCTCTGTCGGAAAAGTCTTTTCTTGAGAGTTTACTCGGAGCGAATGACCTCCGCATCCTAGAAAGCCAAGTGTTCTCTGTCTTCCATATCCATTGTAAATTTGACTTTTTCCTCCATTTCGTTTGTCAAGATCAGGAAATCATCTAATTTTTTTCCTCCATACGACCAAATTGTGAAGTAGTCATCCAAATATCGCATAATTACTGTTGGCAGCTGGGGTGACATTTTGAAATTCTCCTCCAACTAGTTTATGAAGGCATTAGCCAAAAGAGGTGAGAGTGGTTTGCCCATAGGCACACAACGGATGATGCTGAACAGATGGAAGGCTGGAAATTATGAAAGGAAAGCAAGAGGAACAGTAACCCAAGATTAGATGGGAATGTCAACTTGAGGGACGAGAGGAGTGTGCTTTTCGTGATTCAGAGGAAAAAAATGGAAGCAGCGCATTCTCATATCAGCGTTTATGAATTAAGCCGGACACAAGACCCTAAAAAATGAGACACACTATGGGTGTGGATGAGGCGGAGGATAATCGATTCATGGGTTTGCAACTTAGGGCGAGGAAGATTCCTAGGCACTGACATGTGCATCATCTTCCTTAAATCCTCGAATATGGCATAATCTAGGACGGCAATTGAAAGATCTTGGCCAGCCAGATTTCAGACAGCCAAGCAGTGATGTTGATATGAAGAGAAGCTGGGTTTCGAAAAATCCGTGAATAGATTGATACTGTATACCTTTCATTTCGTTTGGGAACGCGGGCCGAAGGGATTTGTAGATTGGCCTCATCAGATGCCGAAGGAGGGTTGCCTTGGAATTTTGTCTGTCGAATTGTGCGAAGAAGACTTCGACTCACCGTCCAACGACCTTTATGACTCCGGGCTGATCTTTCGTCCGTCATGTGACGGACATCGTCAGAGCCAAAACCATTATTCACGAAAAAATCACCAAAAAAACTACGCCGACTACGATGCCGGTAAAACGTCTGGGAATGTACCACATCCACGGTCCTACTCTGGAAATGATGATGCATACAATGGACTCCAGACTAGGTGCGTTCCTCTAAGTCTT